ATCCATGGGTTTTATATTAGAATTCAAGAATTCAAAACTGCAAATATGGAGGACCAACTATATGAATTTTTCTTCCATGGTTGGTGGGATACATAGATGTGGAATCGACAGATACAGAGGGTGACTGTATTATAATTAGATAATTGACAGTGAAAGATTACAAAGCCAGTTGAAGAGAATATATGTTTAGGTATACTGATGGAATGATTAACATCAGAAGAGAAAGTGAGATGGAAAATTGAAAGGGTTTGTGTTAGATCCATTAAATGGATAAAATCAATAAATGGATAAAATGTCTTAATCCATTAAATCGGCACAATAAGTCACTATCATGGAGAACAGGAGTAATAGATGTAACAGGGACGTTGAGGATAGCAGGAAAAGTTTGGAACAGATGGAACGTGGGGAGGTTAACACATTTTTAATGGAATTAGTCAACACACTTTGTGACTTTCACCAGAATCACTCAAACAATGAGAGAAAGGAGAGAGTTACATATTGAATGCTTTTTATTCAATAAATTAAAAAGTAACCATTTATGGTGGCATAGTCTGTACCACATACATAGGTAGTTTATCTGAATAAATTATCACTCATCTTCATTGCTGCACATCAGTTTTCTCATTTTACAACTGAAGAAGCAGTTTAAGAGCAGTTATCTAAAATCATGAAGTAAAGCCCAGGTATCTCTGGATCACATTCTTTTTACCACACTAATAGATTCCAAATACTGGTCTACTGGCTGGTATTGAGATGTCGATAGCACACTCACTTTTGAAGCTTTTAAAAAATCAGTTTCCCAGACTCTTCTATAAAGAGCCAATAGTAACTATTTCAGGCTTTGTGGATCACATATGGTCTTTGTCACACATTTCTTTCTTTTTTTTTTTTTTGAGACAGAGTCTCACTCTGTCACCCTGTGTAGAGTGCAAGGGCATCATCATAGCTCACTCACTATAGCCTCTAACTCCTGAGCTCAAGTAATCCTTCTGCCTCAGACTCCTGAGTAGCTGAGACTGTAGGTGTGTGTCACCACAGCCAGCTAATTTTTCTGTGTTTTGTAGAGACAGGGTCTCGCTCTTGCTCAGGCTGGTCTCGAACTCCTGAGCTCAAGCAATCCTCCTGCCTTGGCCTCCCTGAGTGCTAGGATTACAGGCATGAGCTACCACACCCACTCAGCCTGTCACATATTTCTTTGTGGGTTTTTTGGTTTGTTTTTCTTTTTGTTTTTTGAGACAGGATCTTGCTCTGTTGCCCAGGCTACAGTACAGTGGCATCATCCTAGCTCATTGCAGCCTCAAACTCCTGAACTCAAGCAATTTTGCTGCCTCAGCCTCCTGAGTAGCTGTGAGTACAGAATTGCACCATCACACCTGGCTAATCTTTTTTTATTTTTTTGTAGAGATGGGATATTGCTATGTTGCCCAGGCTGGTCTCAAACTCTTGGCTTTAAGTGATCCTCCTGCCTTGGCCTCCCAAAGTGCTAGGCTTGGCCGGGCACGGT